TCATTATCACAGGCTAATTCAGCTATTCAGACCTTACAAAGGTCCTTAGGCCTCCTGGGCTGTGCATATATACTCAGAAACACTTTCCTACAGAATGCAAATGCGAAGGCCAGCCCTTTGTACCGCTCCCACACTCTCTGCCGGTTTACCCCGTCTGGGTGGTTTCTCTATTTCTTTGCATCTGTAGAACAGCTGTTTAAGGCAGTGACTGCCAATCCTGACGGAATGTTGTGGGGCCCTTGCACAAGTGGCAATGGACGTGGGTTTAATGAAGGCAGGGTTGGGGAGTATTTCAGGGACACTGGGTTCACCTGCGAATGGACAGACATGGGGGCTGTTGGGTACACATGGGAGATATCTAAATCAAAGCAAAGCAGGGAGTTAATAACACATGATTCTAGATCATTTACCGGCGCTCAGAAGTTGAGCTGGCAGCAACACTGAGAGGAAGTCTGTTCTGTGCCGTATCGAAAACAGGTGTGCTGTGGTTAGACAGGGTGTGTACAGGAGACTGTTCTGGGAGTCTAGAGCTGTAGGTATCCTAGAGAGAAGTCTAACTTGGTCTTGCAGGCCAACCAAGAAGCAAAGAGAAGGGGTGAGCCATTGCTCTTGTGTTCAAGCACTGGTATTAACTGTCTATTAAGATTATATTGTGCTTGGCTCTAGGGACAGTCCTGCTAACAGAGCTGTCCTTGTCCCGTGCATGCAGAAGACACAGGAGATGTGCACTTGCTGGGAGACCTAGAGGGAGCTGTGGAGAAGGCGTGAGCTGAGCCTTCCTCCCAGATGCTGACACACGAGCACATCTGGCAGGGAGGCTGTTCGGAGTCTGAAGCATGTGTGAACATCATCCAGGGGAGAGGGTCGGCAGAACAAGACTGGAGAATTGAAAAGAGCAGAGGGAGGTGAGGTAGTCTGAGCCTCACGGACTTTGGAAAGATCTGTTGAGAATCATTGTCCTTATTCAAAGCTTAATGTTAAATATACTTTTATATTATGGGCCTTTTTGGCAGTCTGACAGAACCTATGAACATCTCTAAGCATAATGTCTTTAGTTAAAATTCCCAAGATTAAAAAGGAAACCAGTTACAATAAAATATATGTCTAGTGAACTTGGTGACGCATAGAACCAAGAACCAGACTGAAATAATCTTCGTGACATAATGCAAGTGCTTCTCTTCATGGGTGGCCTTCACTGGGATCTAGCAGAGGGTGTGAGGAATGCAGTTCCTGAACTGTGCTTAGTATATACAATATTCCGAGGTGACTAGGACTGTGACATGAGACACAGGAGGTATGGGTTATGATTTGCTGCCTTTAACTCAAAATAGATGGAAATCTCGACTCAGGTAGAAGTTAGTGGAAATAAAGCCATTAGTTCAAATTCATGAGCTGTTCAAATTCATGAGTCCCTGAATTCTATCCCTCTACTCCAGCAAAATGTGCAGGGTTACGAGTCATCCAAAGATCTGAAGCAGGAGTGGAAGGATTCCATTTTTATTTTTATTATTGTATGATGTTTGGATGTGAGAGTCTGGTCCCATGTGTGCACAGAGACCATGTGGAGGTCAGAGATGAACTTGCAGGAGTAACTTTTCTCTTCCCACCTTGTTTTTGAGGGTTCTCTTGTTTCTGGCAGGCTGCTCACTCCAGGCTGGCTGACCTCTGAGTTTCTACACAGTTCTCCGTCTCTGCTTAGGTCACAGAAGCAAGCTGCCGCGTCACATTTGTTATGCGTGTTCTTGGGACCAAGCTCAGATTGTTGGCTTCTGTGGTGAGTGGGTTTTGTAGCTTTATCACAATGTGGTTTATTTTGTAGCTTTATCGCAGAGTCCTCCTCATAAGGATCCAGATAGGTATGGTCTGTGCTTTACAGTTATTTTATAACCCTATGGATATGTTAGAATTCATACTGGCACAATAAAGAGTTCATTTTATTGTATATTAATTATACTGAGAATCCAGATTTTAAAAATGAAATCAGTTGAATCACTAAATGTTCAAGTTCAACTTTTAAAAGGTATCTGTCCTTTGTCAGAAATTGGAGCAAGTGTGAACAGTACCCAGTCTGCTAAGTCTGAACTGTGTCATTATTTACTCAACGGTATAGAAAAGTCCTATGCTTGACCCAAAATTTTATCCCCTCTACTTCAGGGAGCGCACGGGCCTCCTGAACCACTTGAGGTGAAGAAAAATCCATTGTTTGCACACGCATGTGGGGGCCAGAGGACAGTCTTGAATGTCATTCCTCATTCCTGCCTACCTTTCCCTCAAGATACAGTCTCTCGCTGGCTTGTAGTTAACCTAGGAGGTGACGCTGTCTGACCAGTAAGCCTCCGGGATGCTGCCTAGCTCTGTGGTTACAGACAGATGGGTGTGTGTGTGTGTGTGTGTGTGTGTGTGTGTGTGTGTGTGTGTGCGCGCGCGCGCGCGCACGCACGCACGCGAGTGTGTGTGTTTAATGTGGATTTTCATCTTTAAACTCCAGTTCTGGTGCTAGCAAGAAAAACAGTTTACTGGCTGAATCATCTCCCTCGTTGAAGTGATACTAAAAACGAGTTGGAAAATGTGTATCTGTGATTGGTCTGGGACCAGTGAGAGAAGGGAAATATTTTGAAATCAAATCTGTATCTTATTTCATTAAAAGCATCTTATTTGCCATCGGCTTGTTATGGACTTGTTATGAAGGTTTGTGTCTCCAAAGTTAATGTGCTAAAATCAAGGTTTAAATCAGAAACATTCCTGCTGATTTATACTTGATGATGAATGCTTGGTTCCGGGCACTGTTTTGAAGGTTATGGATCTTTTAGGAGGTGGGGCCTAGCTGAGGAAGTAGGTTACCCGCTTTGGAGGTTAAATCTGCTCTTAGTTCTGGCTTGCCTTTTCTTGTGTCTGTCTGCCACACTGAGAACAGCCTTGCCCATGCATCCTCTGGAGCTGCTGCTCCATGTGTCCCCGCCATGATGGACTGACATTGAGAGCCAGCTAGCATTCCCTCCCCGCTTCTGTCAGGAATTTGATCACAGAGGCTCTAACCTGTGGCTCTCACCAAGATGAGCTCTCAGGAACGGGACTGTCACCCTCACATGAGCTCCCAGGGCGCTCTCCACTGTATGATGACACAAGACGATGAAACGTTGCCTTTCTGCAGCCCTGAAGAGGGAGAACCCGCCCCTGCTGGCACCCGATTTTAGACTTCCAACTTTTGGAACGGTGAGAAGAAATAAGTTCCCGTTGCTGGAGCCGTACCGTCACGGTACTTTTATAGCAGTCTAAACTAAACCACAGTTAAACAGAAAAACCCGTGGCGGTAGGGTTTGGTGGAAATGCGCTCCAAATTCCATCCCATTGCATTTCCAGCTCGTGGCCCAGTTTAAATCAGACTAAACAGGAATCTCCTCTGGCCAAATCCTGTCACCCAAAAAGATGATCTCTGGAGTACAAGTCTCACTTGAGGAAGTATCTTGCAACCATGGAGTCAAGAACTTGGTTTGGGGGGGCTAGTTGTATACTGTGTTCACAAAAGAGCCAAGTTAGATTCCCAGAAGCCACACCTGGCGGCTTACAACTGCCCGTAACTGCCGCTTCCGGGAGATCCAATACCCCTGGAGCCTGAGGGTGCTTATGCTTACGTGCACATGCCTGCCCTAGGTTAAAAATAATATAAACTAAGCTTAGAGAGAGAACTTACTTTGATTTTTCTGGATGCAAGTAAAAATAACCACTTATTGAACTCACAGGGCAACTCCTGCTTCTAGTAAAGAGAGCAAATCCCTCCTTCCATGAACTTTCTAGTCCAGCACCAACAGCACGTGATGGCTGTGACTACATAGGGAACCTTGGCATTCTGTCACCAAGCTCTATTTTGAAAACTTTTTACAATGTCTGCTAGGCAGGTATGAATCTGTGGCACTTCTCAAAAATTCCAGGGAATGAGAAGCTTCTAAAACCCTGCTGACATCTTAGTCCAGTGCAGCATTTCCTGGTAGGAAATTGCAAGCTTACTGCACTGCCCACATTTATAGTACTTCCTTCAATTTGACTGTCAGTTTCAGGCGACTTCAGGAAGCTGATTTCCAGAAGGCAGTAGGAACTGAGAATGTCCTGAAGTTGGCCTCGTCCTCATCTCATATCCAAGACACATACCCAAGAGCAAACGGGTAAAGGACTAGGCTTGGGACAGGTGGCGGGCTGCTCCATAGAGACAGTCGGCAGCTTAGCTGGGAATGTGAGTGAGCACCAGAGATAAGGGTAACTGGTTGTGAGTGTGTGTGTGTGTGTGTGTGTGTGTGTGTGTGTGTGTGTGTGTGAACATGAATACATACACACAGAAAGGCCAAAGGCAGAGTAAGCAATAACATCATAGACCACAGTCAGGCTGAAATAATGCCCAAAGTACCCCTGCAGCTTATAGACTTGCAGTGCTACTCAGTCAAGCACCTCACTTCTCTCCACCTGAGACTGAAAGGTCTTGCCCCCTCTGTAGTCTCAGGTTAAGTTCCAGGACCAGAGAGGAGTGGAATCAGAAGGGATGGCTGAACCCATTCAATCCAGTGTGTTCTAGAGATGTGTGCAAACTACAGGGGATGCCAGGAATCCCAGGTCCAGGCTGCTACCTGCATCCCAGTCTGCATTTCCTGAGACTTCTGCCCATCTGTCCACGTGCAGTGTTTTTAATGTTAGTGCACTTATGTGCAGGGATGACTCTGGATCCTGCTTCCTACTGAGAGACCCAGCCTGGTAGATGTGATGAGGTTGGCCTGGCAATCTGGAGGCTTCATGATTCATCCCTGGGGCCTGTGAATCTCTGCTGTTCGTGTCTCATCATTTCCCCATCTTGGATCTACTTTGATGATTCTTATCTAGGTTTCCAGCTAAACCTTCCTGTGGTTTTGAGTAATTCAGACATGATACCGTATTCTTGACCCACCCTGAAATGTTAACATAGCTTCCAGAGCCAAAATAATAAATAAAGCCTGAGAAATAAAGTCAGAAACAAATGCATGCAAAGCAGCCTTCTGTTATATTGTCACGAACATAGGTTTCTCGAAGCTGTCTTTTCCTGCGTGTTTATCTGAAGCTTTGGTTTTTAGCATTTCAGTCACAGCACTCCCAGTTGGGGAATGTCACCTAGTGAGAGGAAAGCTTCGGATTTGTGCCATTTTCTAGAAACCAGTATTTACAAAGCTGAAGAAATGAATTGTGGACTTTGGCAAAGAGCAGTCTCCGTTTTCATCTGCTCTCTTCCTTGAAGAGTCGCTTTGTACCGTCACTCAGAATATGGAGACTTCATCTAAGATTGAAAACGGAAATGATGGTTAAGGAAGCTGTTTTGCAAATGAATCAGTTTTGAGGGAGTAAACAGTCTTTTGTCTACTAAACAATCTGTAATCTTTCTACCAATTAACTAAGAATTCATTAAAGTAATTAGGGCTGATCAGCCTGAAATAAAAGGTGTAATTCGAGCAGATGAAAAACTGCGCTAACAAGTCCACTCACGGGGCAGGCAAAGCGGCTGAGTGGGTGAAAGCTATTGCCCCAAAGGCCCGAGTTCAACACAAAAACACACACAATAATTAAAAACTAAAAACCCACTCATCGCACTAAAAATAATAGAAAACGGGTACAAAATGTGGCAAAACTTCAGACAGATATAAGTAACTTGGTGAGTTAAGGATATCCAACATTGGAGTAAGCCATGGATTTTCCATCCTTGGAAGTCTTGAAGAATTTAATACCTTTTGACTTTTAGCCAAGAACCAGTTTCCTGGGCATCCAGATCCCACAAGGTTTTGTTCACCCTGATGTATTCACCTGGTGTAAACTGGGGCTGTTAAACCCTTTTGCGGCATTGGGGGATGGAAACAAATAGAATGCATCCCAAGTAACATTATAGATGATGACACAGTTCTTAAAAAACACTTATGCTTGGGCGGGAGAGATGGCTCAGCAGTTAAGAGCACTGGTTGTTGCTCTTCAAGAGAACCCAGGTTCAATTCCCAGCCCCCACGTGGTAGCTCACAACTGTCTGTAACTCCAGTGTCAGGGGATCAGACACCTTCACAGCAATGCACATAAAGCAGAGTTAAATAAATTATTTAAAAAATACTTGTGCTTCTATTGTTCTTCATGGGCTAGATGGAAGGGCCGCAAAGACTGGCTATGCAACAACCAAGAGAAGTTGGAACTTGTGGTTCCTGAATGTCTTAAGAGAATTGCCAGAGGAGACTTGCAGACCTTGGTTGTGTGTGTGCTGGGGGGGTGGTATGGCCCATGGATGCACCAGGAAGAGAGAGGTACAGGGGACATTTGGCCCTCTGGTGTTGTGGTAAACACCTCAAAGCAGTTCTTTCAGGCCACGGTGTTTGCTCTTGGTAGCTACATCCTTAGCAACGTGCATGCCGCACCAACAGCACCTTCTGTTATAGGCTCTCGAATGTGGGCTAGCAACCACGCTTTCTCCTCGCCCAGGCAGTGCGGCAAACCCTGGGATTCACATCTGCCTCGCTGCACACAGCCTAGACCATGGAAAGGGGAAGAACGTACTGCTGTTTCAATTGTGGTAGGGCTCAGGTTTTCTCTCAGCACAGCGTATACACTCGGAGACATGGGGAGAAGGTCTGAAGGAGACTGCGGCTCCATGGCATCGCTGCGGCTTAAAGAGACAACAGGAGAATATCACAAGGGTTATAACATAATAGCTCACAGTCACCTGCTGTGTCCGGGACTCACTGAGCGCTTTATCTCTCTGTGACACTGAGCTGCCTAATTCATCACTTCATATCAGAGCATTCAATCTGCTGTGGAATATATGGCATATAAAAAGGCGGCTTTATAATTACAGCCCTAACAGACTGGAGAGTGTGCCCTGAAGACTAGCTTTATGTGTTCAAAGAAATAAGACATAAAAGGCTTTATTGGGCATTAAAAATGCTTTATCCTCGGTTATATGTACTCTGATCTGCCCTTAAATCTTTTAGGAAAGCTTTTTGAGAAAAAAAAAATCAATTCAATAATAAATATTTTACATGTGACTAAAGTTACTCACATTGTTGAAATAGGGATAAAAACTGAAGGAACATAACCTTTGTCTCCCCGTTCTGTTGGCCTTGAAACTGAAAAAGAAAGGCACAATGTTAGGGAGAAATATTAGCATCATTGATAAAATTGGAAATAGAACATCTAGGAAAGTATCTGCAATGCTCAGAAGAAAATAAATAATGTGGTTGTCTCGTAATTCACAAATACTTTTAGTTGAATGGAAGAAGCAGCCACACAGGTGAACATGAAACGCAAGGCCAAACACCAAGACTCTTAGCAGGCTGATGTGACCTCAAATACTAATGACTCTGAAATATCTGATGACAATTGAGACTCTCCTTCATCATCTGCCCTTCATGTTGAATTAAAGTTTGTCAGTCGTATCCTATTCATTTATATATCAGGAAATTTATAGTGCTGTAGTGTCTCTCAAAGGTCCTTGCCTTAAAGGCTTGGTTGTCAGTCTGTGGGGCAAATGTGGGGCCTGGAGGAAGGACAGTCACTGGGTGTGTGCTTTAGAAGGAATATTGAGACATCAGCCTCTTTCTTCTCTGCTTCCAGGTCACACACTCCCACCATGATGTCTAATTGCAGGCCTAGAGGTGATGGGGTCAACCTCCATAGACTGGAAGCTTCCACACTGTAAGCCCAACAAATCTTTGTCTTTGACTGACACATATAGGAACACAGTTCTTTTCATTAGAATACCAGTCATAACCTTATTACTACACAGAGGTTTTGAAGCAGGTACACCAGCTTGCCTAGAAGTGACATGATACCATGACAACCACCACAGTCCCACAGGAATGGTAATGGGCAAACCTTGGTCTTCCCAGCTGCACCATGCTGATCTAGTGGCAGCACAGTGTTCCAGTTTTAATTCGTTGTATCGACATTTGTATTCTGGTCTCTTAGGCATAGAGTGCCACTAAAAGCCAGTCCTCTGTGTTTGTTTTCTTCTGTGTTTTCTTTGTTTCAGATGAAGTTGGGTGGCAACAAGCTACACTGTCTGTGATAGCTGAAGAATATTCCACAAGACAGTTCTCCTTTATTCACTACTGTGGAAGAGCCTTAGAGATGGCACACTGTTATCCCTCGCTACCTGTAGGGAACTGTGCTCTAGGACCCCTGCAGACACTTAATCCACGGTGCTCAAATCCTTTGTGTACAATGGTGTTGCATTTGTTTTGGATCTAAGCACACCTGTCTATATGCTTTAAATCATTTCTTCTGGTTACCTACAGTACTGCTTCAATATAAATGTTGTTTTAATAGTTGTTATTCTATGTTGTTTATAGAAGAAAGAAAAGAGAAGGTTCACACGTTCAACGCAGCTGCAATTTTTAGAAGCCATGTTTGATCTTTGGTTGGCTGAGTAAGATGTGCAAACTGTGGAAGCAGAGGCCAGCTGTGCTTTCGGGAAAGAGAATGGTGAGCCCCCTTACCTCAGACAGCTAATTTTATGAATTTTCTTTTATGTATTCACTACTTACTGAATGCCTATTTGGACAGTTACTCCTCTAGGCCCTAGGGTATGTGGAAGAAAAGTTTGCCAAGGTAGAAGAATGAAGCACAGATCCCCATGCCTCTTCTTTGGCAGAGAATAAACACTGAGTAAAGATTACAGTAAGGCCGGATGGGGCATATGACTCAGTGTTAAGTACTAGCCTAGTAGTCATCAAAGCCTGAGTTCCATCCTCAGTCTCTCTCTTCTCTCTCTCTCTCTCTCTCTCTCTCTCTCTCTCTCTCTCTCTCTCTC